GTGTCTACTATTGTCCATTATGATGGTTTCATGAACCCATGTCCCATGGAGGGAGTTACCTTCAATATTGGGACTGCAAAACTTATTCCTTTAATGAGAGGAATTTCTTTACAAAGGTTGAAGAAGTTGATCCACAAGAAATTGGAGAAAGAACCCCACGAAAATGTAGCAACCATCCATTTTCGCTGTCCAACTAGACTCGGAGTTGGGATCAACAACTTCATTGCTATTGAGTTGAAAGATGATGACGACGTGGAGGCCATGTTCGATGTTCATGATTCAAACTCAAGTCTATGTGGTATTGAAATTTTTGTTTCATTTAAAACTTCTTCTTCTTCATACCCAACACACACTCACCAAATTTCACCCTTACCTACCAAGCTTTCCAAACGACCGAAATACCCACATAATGACTACATCCCTTTTACCCAACTTTAAGTGGGCCTTCCACCAACATCAACGAAGAACTACCCACACAAGAGAACAAAATTGTTGGCCTCCCAATTGAAGTCGTTGATCCTTTTAGTGAGGATGAAGACGAAGATGAAATTCTCAGTCAACACCAAGATGATTCAGAGTACGAACAACCACATATCCCTACACATGCACCAAACTTCATGGAACCATACAACCCACCACAACATTTTCTTAACTTTGAAAATCACATTCAACAACAAGACCTAGAGTATGGTCATGCGTTGGACAGAGAGTCTTTTGTTTCTTCGACAAGAACTTTATTTCTTGGACAACATTTCATAACAAAAGAACAAGTTCAAGATGCCATCAACCGCTTTCACATTGTCAATCACTGCACATACAAGGTGAAAATTTCAAACCAAAGTAGATACGTTGTTGAATGTGTTGATAACCAATGCAATTGGAGATGTCGAGCAATATTGCGCACAAGAGAGCAATATTGGGAGATTATGAAGCTTGAAGGGCACCATACATGCGTTTCGCCATTAATCAGCCAAGACCACAACAAGTTGGGATATAAAATTATTTCCCAAACAATTGGTCAAATAATTGATGTTGATTCGTCAACACCAATCTCCACAATCATAGCCCACATCCAATTAACAACGGGTTACACTATAACATACAGGAATGCCTGGTTGGCCAAACAAAAGGCAGTGGAGATCATCTACGGAAATTGGGAGGATTCGTATAAGAAGTTGCCTTGTTTGTTACAAGCGATGCAACAATTTGTTCTCGGATTCATCTACAAACTGCAGTCACAACCAGCTTACCAAGGTTGGATGAGATACTTAGAGAAAAATGGGCATTTGCATGGGACAATGGATGACGTTGGGGCCACATGACGACCAACATAGCAGAGTCTATCAACTCTATTTTGAAAAAAACAAGAAATATACCTATTTGCTCCATGGTCAACGCAACGTACACTCGCTGCAACAAATTTTTCATTGAAAGAGGGAGGCAGATAGATGCCATGATCAATTTGGTCACAAATTTAGAGGAAGCACAAACACAGGAAAACACGCATAGGGTCATATCTTTTGACAGGTCTACCACAAAATTTGTAGTAGAAGAAACACAAAACCCGCGTGAAGTTCGACCAGCAGGGAAGTTTGCAGTTCACCTTGATGAGTTATGGTGTGACTGTGGGAAATTCCAAAAATTTCACATGCCTTGTTCACATGTTCTTGCTGCATGCAAACATGCACACCATGACTTCAACAACTATATTAATTCAGTGTATACCTTACAACAAGTTTCAAAGGTATACGGAACACAATTTGGGTTATGCGAAATGAAGAATATTGGCCAACATACACAGGACCTACTTTGTGTGCAAATCCAGAAATGAAAAGAACTTCAAAGGGCCGACCAAAATCAAGTCGTATAAGAACTGAGATGGACATTACAGAAAATCAAAGTAGGATTAAAAAATGTTCATATTGTCATACCCCTGGTCATAGCAGAAGAACATGTCCCAATGTTGCATGTGCATCTACTTCGCATTATTAGATTGTGTTAGTTAAGAAATGTCTCAATGTATGAATCTTAGGAGTTTTTCAATTAATTGAAAGTGATGAAGATCTTATTGAATCATTTGATAAAACGAAGATCTTGTGGGTTTGATGAAGTCAAAGGTTATTTAAGGAACTTTTTGCTAACTATTTTAATCTAATCAATTAAAACTTGTTGTTATCAATTAAAATAACTTAGAAAGTTTTGTGAAAAGTTTTGAAGAAACTCATTCTGCAGGAGCTGCATAATCAAGCGAAGAAACTCCGCTTAAGCGAAAAACACATTAGATAGCGGTTCTGGAATTAACCGCTATTAAAAGTACATTTTAGATAGCAGTTAACGTTGAACCGCTATTAAAAGTCACACATATATGATAGCGGTTCCACTTTAACCGCTCTTAAAAGTAAACATATAATAGCGATTCCACGTTAACCGCTATCTAAAATGTACTTTTAATAGCGGTTAGGTCTAGAACCCCTATCTAATGTGTTTTCCACTTAAGCGGAGTTTCTTCGCTTGAGCGAGAGAGAAATAATCGATTGTATATTCGATTATTTTAAAATTATGATCGATTAGTTCAAATCATAATCGATTGTAAATTTCTTCGCTCAAGCGATGGATCTCTCGCTTGAGCGAGAACTGACCACGGTCCAACGCAGTTACTCAATCAATTCTCGCTTGAGCGAAGTAACTCATCGCTTGAGCGAGAATTGACCAAGGGCTAAACGTCCAGCGCAGTTAGCCACATAACGCAACTTGGGTCACCACATATTTTAATCACTTTTCGTTCAAGCGAAAGTACCCGTCGCTTGAGCGAGAATTGATTGGAGATTACCCCTTCGTTACAGATTTTCTCGCTCAAGCGAAGGGTTTCTTAGCTTGAGCGAGAATTGACCCGAGATTACCTCTTTGTTACAGATTTACTCGCTCAAGCGAAGGTTTTCTTCGCTTGCGCGAGAGTTCATTGCGCGATATAATCAATCATAATATAAAATGATCGATTATTTTAATACGTGAACAGTAAAGAGTGCTAGTTGTGTAAATAATGTTCCATATGTGCTATTTTGGGAAATATTTTTAAAAATAGTATTATTTATGAAAAAAAGTCAACTTTTGTTGAAGATGGTTATTTTTCCAATTTCCAAACCCATATTTAATAAATAATAAAAATAATAACATCATTTTAATATATAAAATTTGACCAATTTTAAAAATCCTATCATACATAATTTAGTAAGGGTACTTATCTAAATCCCTTTAAAACATATTCTACACACTTAATCTATGTATACTGAAGTAATATTATATAATCGTTCAACAATATAAAATGACTAAAATCTCATGTATATATTTTTTAAACTTTTAATTTAGTTACCTCAATACTATTTATTAATATTATATTTTTTTATAATAAATTATAAAATTATGCAGGAACTCACAAAGGATTTTACTTAGGTTAATTAATAGATCATACTAAAATATTCACAATTCCAACAAATTAAAGATTTTATCCTATGTCAAGAGTTGTGAATTTTGCATGGACCTGCCAAACCCAAATCTCGATCAAACATGTAATTCATATATTTTGATATTTTTATTTATGATATTATTTTGTGTGTGTCTCTTTTATTTCTATTATTATTATTATTATTATTAAAGACATTTGTAGAAGAAAAATATTTCTACAAATTTTAAAAACATTTGTATATTTTTAAAGATTAAAACAATTATTTAAGTTATGTAAAAATGAAAAAAAAAAACAGATATTAAAACCCAAATCAAACTTTGTTGAAACTGTTGAAAAGTGCTTCTTCATAAAATTGTTTTTATTTTAATTTATTTTTTATAAATTTCAATTAGTATCCTAAATATACGACTTTTTTTCATAAATAATACTATTTTTAAAAATATTTCCCAAAATAGCACATCCGGAACATTATTTACACAACTAGCACTCTTTACTGTTCATGTATTAAAATAATCGATCATTTTATATTATGATCGACTATATCGCGCAATGAACTCTCGCTCAAGCGAAGAAAACCTTCGCTTGAGCGAGTAAATCTGTAACAAAGGGGTAATCTCGGGTCAATTCTCGCTCAAGCGAAGAAACCCTTCGCTTGAGTGAGAAAATCTGTAACGAAGGGGTAATCTCCGGTCAATTATCGCTCAAGCGACAGGTATTTTCGCTTGAGCGAAAAGTGATTAAAATATGTGGTGACCCAAGTTGCGTTATGTGGCTAACTGCGTTGGACGTTTAGCCCTGGTCCATTCTCGCTCAAGCGATGAGTTACTTCGCTCGAGCGAGAATTGATTGGGTAACTGCGTTGGACCGTGGTTTTAGATAGCGGTTAACGTGGAATTGATTGGGTAACCACATTTCCAGTTGTCCTCGCTCAAGTGATGTGTTTTTCGCTTGAGCAACATTACATAGCAGTTAATAAGAACCGCTTTTAAAAATATATATTAGATAGCGGTTAGCCTTAAACCGCTGTCTAACGTATGTTTATAATAGCGGTTTTTTTATAACCGCTCCCTTATATCATACTTTTAAAGAGCGGTTGACCCGTGGAACGCTATAATAACTTGTAGGTGGGTCCATGATGCTCCTAAAACAGACCCAATAACTTGTAGTCACTCGTTTTGACATAACAAAGATGAGTATGAACAAGAACTCCATCCACAGCAACATTAAGAAGATAGAAAGAGCAATGCAAGACATAGTACATACATATGTGATTTAAATATTTAAAGAAATTCTAGGCTCTATGGACTTGTCAAATCCCCCCGCTAACTTGGAAATACATCTTTATCCAGCATAATTAAGATTCATCAGCACATTCAGACAAGATTGCAGTAAAACTCCCATTTATTAACATTTTTTTCATGTATTTGCACTCAATATACTTCATGGTACACATTTGCCCAATAGAACATAAAACTAACAATATAATCCATAGCATAGTGAAAAGAAGAAAAAAAACAAGAATATACGAAGTGATTCTTCAAGCAGTACTACCATAATAGAAAACAGTGTTGTCACCAAGTATTCCTTCAGCTATAACAACTCCACTACAAAAAAAATGATGTGAAAATATTAATGGAATTGATATACTAGTGAGAATGTCCTACATTTATTAAACCACGGAAACATTTTCGGTTTTCAATACAAAACAATTAAAAGCTTGTTTCACAAGTTATATCAATAGTCTATGATTTAAGATTCCGACCAAGCCCGTACCTCAAAATGAATATTAAGGTATTAGCAATATAAGCAATCATTTCCCTGGAGAAAAGTAAATAAATGATTAAAACACAATTGCATTTGACTACAAAATAAAAATACAGAAAATAAGAAGATTTCATATGACAAATATAAGGTGTGACCTTGCTGCAGCAAGGTTTATAGTGATTAACTATGTTAGAGATATGCTTTTATAAAGTCTTTATTCTTTTAATTTTTGAACAGTTGTTTGTTATTTGATAGGATTGAAACAGTGAGCAGTGATTGCAAAGGAGGAGAAAGGAAGAAAACACAGAAGAAGAGGAAGAGAGTAACACTGGAAGAGAGAAAGTTGGAACCCGACGGTGTTCAAATATGAGGAAAAGATTACAATTGTTTTTGTGTTTGTGCTTTAACTTGCAATTCCTATTTATAGGAATTGGCAGCTAGGTACAACAAAAGAAACAACTAACTAACAGAGGTATAACAATGCTCCCTCCATGAGATAAACCTTGTCCTCAAGGTTTGAACGAGGGATAGCATTGTTTAAAATCATAAAAAAATTCCCAAGTGGCATCTTCAGGCAACAAATGTTTCCATTTGACCAGGATTTTCGTGACCGGCAAACCCCTTCTTTTGACAGTGATTCTATCAATTCTCCATGCAATTGACAAGGCTTTGCGATCATCAGGCCCTCTGATGAAAACCATAATGATGTTCATGGTTGTTTTAGACAATGGCCTGAATCCACGGTTCACAAGGATCCCCACAGAACAAGGTGGTTCCTGCAACACATTCTTGTTTATGTCACCGAATGCATTGTTGGCTGTTTCCAACACACCTTCTGAGTTTAGTTCTTTGTGGAATGGAAGGAGAATTAGGCTTGCACGTTTCTCTTCTGTCACATTGTATATATCCTGATGGATTGTTTCATAGGTTGCAACAGTACCTGATGTGTCATCATGTATGAGCCACCTTTCCTTCTGAGGTTTGTATATGTTACCCAACACTAGAATATTTGTACATTGTAACAGTTTCCAAGCTCTAATTATTGGTTGGGCTTCAAGGACAAAATCATCATGTATGAGCCACCTTCCCTTGTGAAATTGACAAACCATTGTTTGGCCAGCTGGAGGCGTCAGGCGTGTCTATTTTTGTTCACCATACTCATTTTGTTTGACAGCAACATGAGAACCGGGTTTATGAAGGCTGCCAACAAGTGCAGCAAAAACACCTTGTCATTGACGTGTAGACATAGACATCCATCTCCACATTCCTCTCACCCATTTCCTCAAACACCTTCTCAGCCTCCCCAATTCTCCCAGAATTCCCATATCCCTCAATCAAAATAGTATACGTCGTCAAACAAGGCTGCACTCCCTCGCTCTCCATCAACCCCAGAATCTCATCCACCCCCCTTCGATCCTTCCTCACGACACAAGCATTCAACAATGTATTATAAGTAAAAACCGTCGGCCTCACAATGCCTTTCTCAGCCATCTCCTCCATCAACTTCTTAGCCCTCTCGACCTGCCCTCTCCTAGACAGCACATCAACCACAAGAGTCAAAGACTGAACCCCGATATTAACGCGGCCAGACTCCACCATCTGACGAAAGAACCTCACACAGAACTCCACATCATTACATCTCTTCAAGGCAAGCAAAAGCATAAAGCAAGACCTACCATCTATCACCAAACCCTTTGCCATTACATATTCAAACACCCCAATAGCCTCTCTAAACATCTTGTTATCAGCACACACCCTGAACAACATGTCACACAGTTTCTCAACAAAATTGGACTCAATTTCACTTTTACTTTCCCATTCACATTCATCAACTAAAGAAACAAGACCCGCAACAGGGTGTTTGATTTCCACGTTAGTGACAAGGGAATTCAAAAGGGTTCTCATTGATGCAAATTTTTGGGCTGAAAAGAGTCTTTAGAGGAGGATCAGGTGGGCATTAAGGTCTGGTTTTTTGGGGTTTTGTGTTTTAAGGAAGTGGAAGAAGGATAAGCAGGAGTGAGGAGAGAGAGAGGGGTCGGAGAGAACATGGTAAGTGACGTGAGGCGCGATGCAGGGGATCGCAGAGTGGGGTTTGAAATGGGTGGAGTTGAGAAGGTTTTGGGTTATGTTATGAGCGAGTTGGAGATGTTGGGGGTTCAAGGGGAAGGAGGTGAAGTTGGTGAGGAACCTCGAAAGGGTCTTGTGGGAATGAGAACACATTGAAAAAATGTGAAAAATTAGGAGGGAAGGGATTGAGAATTTGTTAGATGGTAACAGAGAAGAATGATTCTGCACTCTGCTCCTCCACCAAAAACAGAGAAGGGGTTGATGATGCAGCTTCTTCAGCACACAAATTGCCAAACACATTCCGTGCATAAGAATTGGTTTTCGGGCAACACTTTTTACTTCGCTTTGTTACTTTAAATCATGCCATAATTTTAATTTAAGCTCAAAATTTAAATAAATTACAATAAAATATTTTAAAAAAATACAATCCTTTATATCAATAAGTTTTGTCATAATAATTAAATTATATATTATCAATGATTTACACATATGATATAAATAAGAGTGTGTTTACGGTGGAATTTTGATCGATTTCGATTTCTAAGGGATTTTGTTCTAACCAAATTCCAACCACGTAGATTCTTTTTACTTAGGCTAGCAAATGATTTTCAATCGAAATATGTATGAGAATCGAAAGTCATAGTGTCAAAAATACTAATAACACGACCTAATGTGCGAACTAACAATCGAAAATGTTGTTTTTGATATTTTGTATTTAAAATACTCGAAGTAAAGAAAGTAGTAAAAATGTTAAATCGAAAAGCAGTGTGGAATATTAAATTGCAAAGGAATGTAAAATGCGGAAATCTCAAATTGCATTAAATATAAACGGCAAGGAATTGAATTTACAGAAATGTAAATAGCAGAAAATCGAGATTGCAGAAACGGTAAATGACAGGAAATCAAAATTGCATAAACGTTAAATGGCAGGAAATTTTAAGTACGATGTTTTTTATTGCAAATTGGAAATACATAAACTTAAATTGCATGAACATAAACTGCATCAAAGTAAATTGCATGAACGTAAATTACCAGGGAAAGTAAAGAAAGCGGTAAAGACAATCAATGAAAATGGAAATCCAGATCGCCAGAAATTTCATGATTTCGTCGTTTTCCGGTAGACTTTTCACTAGTATTTCTGTTCTCTCTGCCAATTCCCCTTTCTTCTTCATGCTTCATTCTATTTATAGGGCGCCCTTCAGATAACCTCCTAAGAGCGGTTAACAAAACTGTCACCACAATCCTACGTGCACGTACCTTTAGTCTGATAGTTTAAAAACTGCACTCCACGTTCTCACGTATAAGAGAACTGCTCCCTTAACCTTCGATCTCTGTCACGGTTTAGAAACCGTTTCCCATGTTCCCTGTGTGTGTTCACCGCTCCCTCGATTTCAATTTAAGACATTGAATATTTTGAATTTTGCTTTTGATTCCCTTTTATTCTTAACTTTGCACTATTCTAATCTCTCGATTCTCTTCAACAATAGACATTGAAATTTGTTTCTTCAATTCTCGATTTTGATTTTCGATGTGTTTTTATCTTTGTGGTTACCAGGTGTCTTCTACCAATTTTATCAGTTTTTAACCAATCATATGATCTTCGATTTTTTCTTTCCTTTGTTTTTCGATCCTTTTAACGGTTTCTCACTAACAAAATGCCCCCTTGGAAGAATATAAAATTTTTGTATTTATATTCTTTCAACATGATTCCCGCTTTTACATGTTTGGAGGCCCACAATAACTTAGGGTTTAGGGTTTCTTAGGGTTTTTTCTACTTTATGTCACCTATCACGTCAGTTCTGCTGCCACACTGCAGACGCCACATTAATTACCCTTCGCCTCCGTCACTTCTAATACCCTAGTTAGTTTCTTTAAACATTTGTTTAACCTTTTCACCCTTGTTTTTACCACGAACCTGACTTCTCCTTCGTTGCACTTCCTAATCTTCAACCTTTCGTCTTCATCTCTTCTACAGACTGTAATGGCGTCCTCATCCAAATCCTCTGATTTTTCCGCCCCACCACTCTCCTCGGTGACCTCTACCCTGATCGAAATCAATGGGAGAAAATTTGCTTTGGTGCCTTTGATGAAGGAAGATTCACAGAAGATCGCGGAAACTCAGGTACTTATTCCTTACATTGCTGAAAATGTAAGTTATGCATTCAGTGGTCCTATCTGCTACCGTGGCAGATCTTTTTCCTCTTCCCTCAATCTTCCTTCAGAGAGCAAGGCTCCTATCCACCAGCCTGAGGTTCGAGTTGATTTCTTGAATATTGTATCCAAAGTATATCGTACTGGCCCTCCCCACAAAAAACCTTTGTTCATTAGATGGTTTGATCGAGTCAAGGCTAAATTTGGGAACCATTGGAGGGCTGTAGGGATTTTCGATTTCCTGCATTTGTCTCAGTGTGATCTATCTTTTTTGGATATGACCATGTTTTTATCTGCCGTTCATTTATGGAATAAGGACTTACATGCTTTGGAACTTCCATGTGGCCCCTTTTCGCCTACCCTTTTCGAAATTGTTGCTATTACCGGACTAAAACCCATAGGGGAAAAATATTTTAAGGGTGCTTTTCCTTCGGATAATTCTTTAAGGTCAAAAATCGATTGGGAATCGAAGGCGTATGGACATTTTATCGAAAAGCACTTTGTCGATGATCCATCGGCAGCTGTAACTGATGAGGAGCATATAGCCTTCCTGGTTTATTGGTTATGTACTCATGTTTTCTGCCCCCGATCCATCCAAATTTCATCCCACCTTTATAACCTTGCCTATCTTCTCCACACTGGTCAACCACGAATTAATTTAGTTGTCGATATTTTGAATACCCCTAGGGCCTCGGGGAATTTTTCAGGTCCCATTTGGTTCATTCAGTTATGGCTCAACTCGATTTTTGAAAGTATCCTCCCCCCAACCTCTACAATCCCCCCACGTTTAAATTTAGAGGGTGCTCGATTATCTTCTCGACATCCCCGCCATAAATCTGACGAGACCACCTATCGTAATTACCTCAGATTTTTGTTAACTCGATTCCATTTCGATTCAATTTTGGCCCCTTTCACTGTGCATCTCAGCAAAATAAGTGATCAAGTTCGAGGACCAACATGGTTTAAATCGAAATTTCCTGCTCTTACTCCGGGGCTGCAGTCAGAATTGGTTGAAGTATGGAGTAATTACTTGACCCAAGATGTGTTAGTATTGGGTTTTCAATCAAAAGATCTTCAACTCATCATCTATTACCCTCAGCTTTTCTCGCGGCAGTTTGGTTTAAGTCAGACCTTACCATTTTTTCCCCTCGATACCTCCTCAAGGTCCCAAATTAAGTGAATCGACTGTTGGACGGGAGCTCGCCAAATTGCTGCCGAAAAACCCGATGCAATTTTACCCTTATACTTTTGAGTCCAATTATTTATCTACTCTCGGTTTCTCAGATTGGTGGGCTTATTGGTTTTCGAATAATCATGTTGATTTTGATATAGTTCAACAGAAATTGACTGCTCATCCTTCTCTCGTATTGCAGGACAAATCGAAGGCAAAGAAAGGTACATACTCCCACTATCTCCAAATATCTCGATTCGAAAATTTTTATCGAGTATGTTACAACCCCTTAAAATTAGAATCGACCTTCTATGATGTTGTTATTTCCTTAGCCAATAAAACAGACACTAATCGATCAAACCACAAAATAATCGATCCTCGAGGTAAAACCCCATTTGAAATGTATTGTCCCTATCACCTTCCCACTTTTCCTACAGCTCCTTTTGGACTTGCCAAACCTCTAACTCATCCTAAATGGGTTCGAGAGTTAAGATCTTCGAAAGAGACCCTTTATCCAAAACCAAAAAATAAAGAAATCTCGATATCGAAATCGTCATATTTCCCTTACCTAAACCTTCCTCAAATTCTTCTTCCTCCCTGGCTTGTCCATATCGACCGAGTCAAGATTTTGACTTCATCACCTTTTGGTGAGATTTTGCTACCTCTTCTAGGACTATTTTTTGGTTTTCTTTATATTGCAAGTTAACTGTTTTTTTTTTTCGACAGTTTCAAAAACTTCTAAAATTGCCGCCTCCGAGAAGGAGAAGGACTGGGAGTCCTCCGATGAGTCGGACCCATCGGCCCTCATCAAGAAATGCAAGCATTCTGCCACCATTACCTCATCTTCGAAAAAATCGAAGGTTTTTCTCGATTTCTTATTGCCTTATTTATCCATTTTTCTCTATGGACTCTCATGCATATTTCTGTCATTTATATTCGATTTCTAATTTCAGAAACAAAAATCAAAGAGTCCTCGATCTTGTTAAACATTCAAGGACTTGATGTTGCACTTGATGGACATGAAGATTGTTGATTTTGATGATGATTCAAGAACACAAAGACTTAGAGTGTTGAAGACTTGTTTTGTATTGTAATAACTCTGTTTCAATTAGATTGAGTCTGTAATATTAGAGTTTAAGATGGCCGGTACATAGTCTGCACCTTAGAAGCTTCAAAAAGCTCAAATTTATCATCCAGGCTCGGCTTTAATCGATTAAATAGGGAAATAATCGATTAAAACAGTGAGAAAAATCATTTTCTGTAACAACTCACTGGTTTAATCAATTAAACCAACTTTTAATCAATTAACAGGCGGTTTAATCGATTAAACCCCCTTTTAATCGATTAAAACAGAGAGGTTTGGGTTCTGTTGACTTTTGGCTCTTGTTTAATCGATTAACACTTCATTTAATCGATTATTTCAGTCAGATTTTAATTTTTAACTTCAAATCAAACCTATTTTCGAAAACCCTATTTCCAAGAACCCTAGTTTCGAAATCCCCAATTCCTAAACCCTAATTTCTCTACTTAAACTCTTCTATGGCACTCAGAAAAGTAGAACAACTTTTTTCATACAAAAGTTAAGTGTTGTAGTGCCAGAGAACTGTTTGTTGCAAGAAAAAGGGGCTTTTGGAACCTGGTGTGGGCTAGAAGCGATAAGAATCACTAAGTGGAGTTCTTAGTGGATTGTGTGTTGTGCTCGTCTCTGGGGAAAGTTGTTCTTCATCTCTTGTGGGTTTAAGAGAGGTGTTATCTTTAACTTTATCTTTTCCATTGTAATTTGTATTGTAACAACTTGATTATAGTGACAGCGTTAATCCTCTGTTTGAGTGATTAGCAACTGGACGTAGGGTCTTTTGATCCGAACCAGTATAAATCTCCTGTGTAAGATTCTCTTCTCTTCTCTATTTACATTTACACATTTTTTAATCGGTAAAATTTGGGGAAAATTTTGAAAACCTAATTTTTGTTAAAGAACCAATTCACCCC